GGAAGGAAGGAAGGAAGGAAGGAAGGAAGGAAGGAAGGAAGGAAGGAGTAGGGAAGGGAAGGCCCCCAAATAATTTGATAGAAATCAGAACGTGTGACTTTGTCTGCCTCACTGGGCAAACCAGATAGGAATCAAAACCAGAGGAGCTAATTCCACTTTATTGTCAAGCTACACTGACAGAATCTTCCAAGTCTGAAAGTACAATTCTCCCCCTACCACTTTTACCATTTGAGAAACTAGGGAGGGTTTCTCCCGCTACCAGCTGTGGGCCATGCCCTCTCTTATCTGACCGTTCTCTCGGCAGCCTCTCTTCACTCCGTCTCCCAAAGTCTTTCCCGCAGGCCATTACATAGCCATGAAATCCCTGAAAATCACCTCTTTTAGTGTATCTTCTGTAGTGCTGAAGTTGAGGTTTTTTATGAAAATGGTACAGCCTGGAAGACTTTCTTCTTCTTCCTCCTCCTCCTTCATTTCCTTCAGAGCATCACTTTTTCCAAAAATCCCTGCAAGAGAAGGAAATATTGGTGAATCTAAGGGTGTCCTCAAACTTTTTAAACAGGGGGCCAATTCACGGTCCTGTAGACTGTTGGGGGGGGGGGGGGGGGGGGGGGGGGGGGGGGGCCGGACCGGCTGGGTGGGCATGGCTAGGTGGTCATGTGACTGGGTAGGTGTGGTCAATTTAGCAGCCCATTAAATAATACACACAAATTAAACTTTAATTTGTTACGCTCCTGGGGGGTGGAAAGTAGGTTAGTGAAGGGATGTGGTTGACTTGGGGTGTGTGTAAGGGACTTCTGTTTTTTTTTTGTGTGTGTGTGTGTGTCTTTCTCTCCCTCCCTCCCCCTTCTCTCTCTGGAGGCCAGAAAATGGGCCCATTTTTGGCCAATTGAGGCCTCCACACATCCCGTTTTTGGCCTCCTCAGCCTCAAGAAGGTGGGTGGAAGACGGCGGATAGGTGGGGCGATGTGGGCAGGGCAGCTTCATGGTCCCACATGGGCCATGGGATTAATGGCTTCAGCGGGCTGTGTCTGTAGTTTGAGGATCCCTGATCTCCCTTGTAAAGATACATTAAAAGAATATTTTAAGTCTGAAAGTATCTTGTATCTTGCTTGTATCTTTACAATTTATATTGTTTTGTTCTCTGGTATGATTTAATTGCTTATCAGTAACCTGTGACTATCACCAAATGTTGTACGTTATGATTCTTGATGAATGTATTTTATTTTTTTCTTTATGTACACTGAGAGCAAACGTACCAAAGACAAATTCCTTGTGTGTCCAATCACACTTGGCCAATAAAGAATTCTATTCTATAATATGGAAGCAATTCTACTCAACTGCCACAAACCCCCAAACATACCTTTCTGGGTTTGTTCCTCACTTTCCTTTTGCTCTTCAACCTCCGACATTTTTGTCCCGGGACCAGAAAACACCCCCATGGGTGCCCATTCGAGGTAGAGAGGGATATGCTGGAACTGATCAAGGAAGAAGAAAATCAGTGCAAAGAAGTTAAAATGAGGAAGGGGAAAAAAATATTAATACAAATCAGTGCAAGGATTAAAAAAAAACCCAAGGTTTGTTTAAGGCAGGAAGCCAATTAATACTGAATAGTAGGTAGGAGGCTGTGGAATTCTGGGAGTTGAAGTCCACACGTCTTCAAGCTGCCATGGTTGAGAAACACTGGGATAAGAATAGAATAGAATTAGAATTAGAATAGGAATAGGTAATATGGAATGGAATAAGAATAGAATAGGAAAGAATAGAATAGAATGGAATGGAATGGAGTGGAGTGGAGTGGAGTAGAATAAGAATAAGAATAGAATAGGAAATATGGAATAGAATGGAATGGAATAGAATAAGAATAGAATGGGAAATAATGGAATAGAATTAGAATAAGAATAGAAAATATGGAATAGAATAAGAATAGAATAGGAAAGAATAAAATAGAATAGAACAGAAAATATGGGATGGGAATGAAAGAGTTGGGAAGAGTTGGGTTGGGTTGGGTTGGGTTGGGATGAGATGGGATAGGATAGGATAGAATAGAACAGAACAGAACAGAATCTGGAAGGGATCTTGAAGGTCTTCTAGTCTAGCCCCTCCGCTCAAGCAGGAGAATCCATACTATGTCAAACAAGTGACTGTCCAGTCTCTTCTTAAAAGCCTCCAGTGATGGAGCACCCACAGCTTCTGGTGGCAAGCTGTTCTACCAGTTAATTGTCCTCACTGTTAGGAAGTTTCTCCTTAATTCCAGGTAGTGTCTCTCCTTGGTTAGTTTCCATCCTTTGCTTCTAGTCCTGCTTTCAGGTGCTTTGGAGAATAGCTTGACTCCCTCTTCTTTGGGGCAGCCCCTCAAATACTGGAAGACTGCTATCATGTCCGGGGTAGGCTATCCACGCACCCACCAGAATAGCGGAGACCCAATCAACAGGCCTGCCTGCCACCACTGGAGGCCTGCCTACCTTGGAGTAGGCCAATTTGGTGAATGCCTTTTTGGCTTCAGTGGGTTCCAGGAACTCCACGATGGCTGTCACTCCTCCTTCGGGGAGCAGCACCCGGCCGAGGCTACCAAAAGGCCCAAAGACCTCCTCCAGCTGCTTCGCCTTCGTGCCAGCAGGCAGGTTCTTCACCAAAATCACCGCCTTGCTCCGTTCTCCGGCCGCCTGGAAGAAAGGAATGAGAGGCTGCATTGCAACGCTAACCGTTTATTTGAGAGCCGAGCCCTACGATCGCCCTGAAAGGGTGTTACAGCCCAAGGGGGGAAAAAGTTTGCTGATTTGACCATGTCTCCGTTGGGAACTCTTCCCTGCACATAGAAAGTGAGAAAATGAGAGAACCTCCCTCCCTCCCTCTCTCCCCTTTCTTCCTCCCTCCCCCCTTCTTTCTTTCTTTCTTTCTTTCTTTCTTTCTTCCTTCCTTTCTCCCTCCTTCCTTCCTTCCTTCCTTCCTTCCTTCCTTCCTTCCTTCCTTCCTTCCTTCTTTCCTTCCTTTCTTCCATGAGAAGCTCACTGCAGAAAAAGAAAGAAACCAGAGAAAAAGAAAAAAGGTGAAAGAAAACAAGATGGCAAAAAGAAAAAAACAGAAAGGAAAAAAAATAGAAAGTCCCTTTCAATATTCTTCACAGCAGATGCAGGCATATATGCATTTTATATATTTTAACCTCTCTCTAAAGCTACAGTACATCCTATTTCTTTTCTCCCCCTAATCTATTCGTTCTAATCATCAAAACCATAAATCACAAATCCATTTATTTCTTTTTTTTTTCACGTGGAGGCAAAAAGCGGAGCAGCTCGCTTTCAACAGCTAAGGAGCTTCGGAGACACAGGAATGTCCGAACAAAAAAGATGCTCAATCAAATTCTATTTTCTGACGGCTTCAACCGCTTTTTGTGACGTCGCAGATTTAGTGAGAAGGAACGGGGGGTTTCGAACGGCCGCTATGCCCTTACCTGGCTGAAGGAATCCAGGCTGACTCCATGGTCAAGCAGGAACCGGCGCACATTTTGAACCAGCTCCGTTTCGCCAAGGGCCACCCTCACAGCCACGCTGCCCTTGCCCTCCTGCCAAGAGAAAAAGGAAGTAAGAGGCATCCAGTGTTGGTCAACACACTATAAAAAAAGAAGTTGAGACTCTAGAAAAGAGTGCAGAGAAGAGCAACCAAGATGATTAGGGGACTGGAGGCTAAAACATAAAAGTGGGCCTGGCTAGTCTAGTGGAGAGAAGGACCGGGGAGACAGGAGAGCAGTCTTCCAATATTTGAGGGGCTGCCACAGAGAGGAGGAGGGAGGTCAAGCTATTTTCCAAAGCTCCTGAAGGCCAGACAAGGAATAATGGATGGAAACTGAACAAGGAGATTCAACCTGGAAGTAATGAGAAACTTTCTGACAGGGAGAACAATCAACCCATGGAACAGAAGTAATCTTCGGAAGTTGTGGGAGCTTCATCACTGGAAGCTTTCAAGAAGAGACTGGACTGCCATCTATCAGAAATGGTGTAGGGTCTCCTGCTTGGGTGGAGAGTTGGGCTAGATGACCTATAAGGTCCGTTCCAACTCTGTTAATCTGTTAAAAAGTTCTCAAGAGTCATGTGAACAACCAAGGACCTGTTAGATGGGGTGGAGGGATATGAGGAACAAAGCTATTATACATCATTCCAGCCAACAAGCCTATAAAGGGGAATATTTGTAGCTCAGGGTTGAAATGAGGAGTCCTTGGTGCTCTATGAGTTTAGTTGGCAACTGACTCATATTTATGACGGCTGCAGTGTCCCAGGGTCACATGATTCACTTTTGCGAACTTCTGACGAAGTCCATGGGTCTTGTCATTGGGAAAACTTGTCCATGGGAAAACCTGTCATTTTCCAGGTAATTACATCCTAAAGTTGCCAAGTTTGAAAAATACTGAATTAGGGGGGGGGGGGGGGGAGGTTAGGCCTAAATTTTTGGCCGAAGATTCTACTCGAAGGGCAGAGCCTACACTTCAAAACAAACAAACCACGACAAAAAAAACAACAACTCTCACGTGATCCAGCACTTGACTCTTGGTAGCGTTGTATTTGTGCGCGACAGCGTCGGCCACGGCATTCGTTCCCATGAAGAGGGTGTTCCAGTTGTGAGAGCTGGGGGTAGGACAAACATTGTGAGTTCCGCTGGAAGAATAACGAAAAGAGAGAGAGGAAGATAACTTGTGAAAGCACAAACCTCAGGCTGTTTGCTTTGTCTTTTGAGGCCTTTTGCTTCTTGTACGAAGATGACCCTGCAGAATCTGAGCTCTCCGCTTCTTCCTTCTTGATGGTGGAAGGCAACACGTGCAACATTCGGCCCTAAGAGACAAAATGAAAATTTGAACTACCGAACCTGGAAATGGAACAAGTGGAAGTGCCCAAAGTTATCCTGGATCCCTAAATCTTGGGAAATCTCTGCAACTGTCAGGCTCCAAAACCTAAGAAAGACACGCTGAGGTTCTTCTAAGCAGTTTTCTTTGTTGCTCCTTGCCTATAGACTGAATCTTGCCAAATCAAAGCACCATAACACATATCTTCTGGAAACTATGATGGAGGAGCTATCTTCACCCTCTGTCACCCACAAAAACTACTTGCACAGCAAAGGACTACGTGTAAGTTGAATCCAGTCCTCATCCCATTAAAAAAAGTATTATTATAATATAAGCATTTACACGAATCACTCATTGGAGCCCCAAAACAAGTTTTCAATATATATGGGAAACCCAAGAAAGAATCTTTAACTGCTCAGATCATCCTCTGACTAACTCCCCCTCCCTGGGGGCAACCCTCTAAGATCTGTGGCATAGAGACCATCCACCAATCAATTGGTACCTGGAAAACCTGTCCGTCCACTTCTGCGAAGGCCTTCACGGCATGCTCAGGAAACATGTAGGTGACAAACGCGAAGCCTTTGGGCCTCTTGGTTAGACTGTCAATAGGAAAGTGGATCTCGGAGAGCGGCCCTGTAGAATAACAGATTCATTTGGAAAAAGGCTGCGAGAGAAGATCTGCTTGGGAGGAAGGCAACATTAGAATATTGTAATAGTTTCGATAGAACAGTTGGTTGTTTCCTTGCTGTTGTTTCATTATCTAACTAGGTGACGTCATTAATGCTAGAAGGGAATGGGGTTGCAGGGAGGAGGAGGAGGAGGAGGAGGAGGAGGAGGAGGAGGAGGAGGAGGAGGAGGAGGAGGAAAAAGGATGACTGTGGGGTCCTTGATGTTCTCTGAGCTTGGTGGCTTTCTTGCAGACGTTACATTACCCAAACTAGATAACATCATCGGTGCTAGTAAAGAGGGGGGTTTGCAGGGAGGAGGAGGAAGAGGAAGAGGAGGAGGAGGAACACTATGAAGTCCCTGGTTCTCTCTTAGCTTGGTTGTTTTTGTGAAGACATTTCATTACCCAACTAGATAACATCGTCAGTGCTAGATGGGAGGGGGATTTGCCTTCATTTTATACACTAGGGCAGACCTCACTCTTTACTAGCACTGATGTCACTTGGCTTGGTAATAAAATCCTCAACCAAGGAGCACCATGGTCCAAAATGGTTAAGCTATGTTGAAATCTTATGAGGATCTTCCCTGTTTTCGAGGAACCAACCGTTTTGGAAAAGAGGCTCCAGGGCCCACAAAATAGCGCGACCATTTACCGTATTTGGAGAAGAGGGCCTCCATTTCTTCTTCCGTGCAGGTGTAAGGAAGGTTCCGCACGAAAAGCCTTCCGGATTCTGAAAGATCTTCTTCTTCCTCATCGTCTTTCTTGGTCCTCTGCCAGATCTGGCCAGATCCCTTCTCGGAGGGCTTCCCCTTAGCGCCCCTCTCTTCTGGAAACAGCTCAATGTACCGACCGCCTGCCAGGCGAAGTGCAGGACACAGGTAAGTCCTCGACTTAGGACAACTGAGCCCCCAAATTGCTGTTGAGAAGTGAGTTTCGCCCCATTTCATGACCTTCCTTCCCACCGTGGTTAAGTGAATCCCTGCAGCTGTTAAGTGAGTGACACCGTTGTTAAGGGAATCTGGCTTCCCCCATTGACTTGGCTTGTCCGAAGGTCATAAAAGGAGATCCCATGAGCCCCGGGACACTGCAGCCGTCATAAATACGAGTCAGTTGCCAAGTATCCGCATTTTTTTTGTATATGTTTTTTTTATTCATAAACAGTTTGAATACAGTGTATTCAAAATTACTAATTACTCTCTGAAGTCTGCGTCTGTCTTGTTGGTTTTGCGTGTTATGTTTTAAAACAGGGGCTTAAAACGACAACACCTCCACCGTCTTTGTACATGAAGAAAAATGGGGGGGAAAGTCACAATTTTTTCCCTAGTCAAAAAAAGCAAACCAATTAACAGGAGACTCACCCATGTATTCTCGATCCCTCTTTAGGGCTTTCTGTTGTTCTTCCTCAGTGTTAAAATCGGCAAATACGTAACCTATGGAATTTGAAAATTATTGATATTCTAATTATTTAGAGAACTTAAAGAGTGCTGGGAACAGAGAAAAGGAGGGAAACAGCACTCTATCCGTTCAAATTACAGTTTAGGGGGACAGTGTTATTGCAAGCATAAAATTGTTTTACTTTTTCATCCAGAGTCGTGTACACACACACACACACACACACCCCTCTGTGGAAGACTGCATTATTTATGATAAAGGTTTTGGTCTTGAATTATGCACACATACACACACAGAGAGAGAGATACCCCTACACATTAGAGTAATAAAAATAGACAAGCAAATTTAACAGGAAGGAAGGAAGGAAGGAAGGAAGGAAGGAAGGAAGGAAGGAAGGAAGGAAGGAAGGAAGGAAGGAAGGAAGGAAGGAAGGAAGGAAGGGAAGGGAAGGGAAGGGAAGGAAAGGGAAGGAAAGGGAAGGAAAGGGAAGGAAAGGGGAAAGGAAAGGAAAGGGGAAAGGAAAGGAAAGGAAAGGAAAGGAAAGGAAAGGAAAGGAAAGGAAAGGAAAGGAAAGGAAAGGAAGGCAGGGAAGCATAAAACTGTAACCTACTTTAAGATGGGATTGTATAGGAAGCTATAGGAAGCTAATATTAAATGTGCAACAATGCTAAATAATAAAGCTGCTATTTTATTCAGAATCCCAGAATAAGTACAATGGGCAGGGGAATTCTGGGACTTGATGTCCATATATCTTAAAAGTTACCAAGTTTGAAAAACACCGTTCCAAAGGATTTTAAACAAAGACCACCACATGAATTGCAATGGTCCAGTGTTGGCGCACTCCCTTTAAGGATTCTACCTGTGGTAGATTTCCTGTTTTTGGATGTTCCACCATAGAATCCTCTCTTTTTTGGCTTTGCTGGATGTTAATGAGCAAACAGGATAGACAATGCAGGGTGATAAGATATACCACCTGTGCAAAGCACTCTTAACAAACAAAAGGTAAGCAACAGTCTATTGAAGAGCATAAAAGACAAAATACCGAATATTACCTGTCTTGTTCCCGTGTGCGTTCCTTGCAATCCGGATTGCCAGCGGCCGAAGTGGCACAAAAAACTCTTTCACGTTTTGCTGCATCCATAAAAGCATGAAAAAGGTGATTAATTCTAGAGCCAATCTAGATCTCTGCTCATGATGCTGTGATCTTCAAGAAAGTCCTTCAATATTGTGCTTGGTTTGCACATGATGCAAAACTCTGGTTTAGAACATAGAATGATGGGGTTGGAAGGGATCTTGGAGGTCTTCTAGTCCAACACATTACACAAGCAGGAGACCCTCCAGACTATCCCCGACGAAGGGTTGTCCAATCTCTTCTAAGAAACCTCCAGTGATGGGAGCACCACAACTTCTGAAGGCAAGTCGGTGTGATGACCCGTAGTCTCTCAAAATAACCCCAAACCCAAAACATACATTAAAGTCCGGTAAGGCCTTCAACTTAACTTCACTGTTTTATTAGGCACAGTTTAAAGTCACAAAAGTAAATAAGGAGGCAAAAAGAAAACCAAAACAAACCGCATTGACGAGAGTTCCGAAGCAAGCCAAGATAATTTAATCATACATTCCAGGAAGATAACTGAGGAGAGTCCATGGGAAGAACGCCAGAAAAGATAAACCTCTTTCAAAGTAAACACTAAACTTTGACTCCAGCAATTCTGACTACGCAGTTACAAACTTATATACATAGCTCCCAGCTGCAAGCCACGAGGAGGATCATGGGAATATCCTCCTGAGTAGACCTCGCTTTTCCCTGATCCTCTCCTCCCTGCGTGACCTAGGATGGATAGGGGATGGGCCTGGATCCTCCTCTGATTGCTCAGCCGGTCTCTGCCCTTCCCCAGCCTCCTCCACCACCTCTGGAGCCAGACTTTCACTCCCTGTTGGCTGTTCTTCCTCTTCCTCAGAGTCAATCTCCACCAGGGGCATGACAGCCGGTTTCACTGAACGTCCTCCTGAGTCAGGACTTAATTTTCCTAAACATGGTTTGAATAAGCAGGTCACTGATTTCAGATATTAATTGTAGTTGGCTACACAACGTTGGCAATAAAGAAGGCACTTCAGGCCAGGTTCGTCCCAGTCAAACCTAAACTCAGCATGCATCTCTTTTAAACTCTCATTCCCAGGTGTGGCTAATGAAGGGAATCAGGGCCCTTTCCTCCCCCGTAAGCCATGCAATCCATGTTGCTCTCTTCTCCATTCCTCCCTGCGTGCCCTAGGATGAAGAGGGGGTGGACCTAGGTCTTCCTCTGAATTCCCTCTCCCTTGTTCTACTTCTTCCCTGCTCTGCCCAGCCAGACTTTGCCCTTCCCCAATTTCCTCCACAGCCAATGGAGCCACACTCCCATTCCCTGTCAGCTGTTCGTCTTCCTCCTCGGATTCAGACTCCGACAGGGGCATGATATAATGATCTATTTGACACTGGATTCCTACTCGGATCTATTTTTGAAAGGCTGGCATGGAACAGTGATCCAGGTTTAATATCCTCCAAGAAGCATGAGTTTTTTTTCCCTTTGGCACACAGGACTTAGATGGGTTAGAAAAGTAGCTTACCTCCGTGACATTGAATGGGGCGCCCCGCATTTTCACGGTGAATGCCGTGGTGGGTTCACTGGCTGCGGCTGATCTGTTTTCCTAAGTAAGAAATACAAAAACATCTGTTTTATTTCTAACCGGAGCGTCTAAAGAGCCTCGGTGGCGCAGTGGTCAGAGTGCAGGACTGCAAACTACTTCTGCTGACTGCTGGCTGCCTGCAATTTGGCAGATCGAATCCCACCAAGCTCAAGGTTAACTCAGCCTTCCAAGGTGGGTAAAACGAGGACCCAGATTGTTTAGAGAGGGCTGTAAAGAACTGTGAAGCAGTATATAACTCTAAACTGCTATTCCTACTGCTTTCCCCTTCCTTCCTTCCTTTCCTTCCTTCCTTCCCTCCCTCCCTATGTGGTAGTTAGAAAATAGTATTGCAGGCTATCTATTTAATGTATTTATACTTATGTTTATTGTTATTTCTATTATGTTGTAAGCGTTTGACAAATCAAATAAATAAATAAAAATAAATAAGACAGTTTCCTCCATCAGGACGTACCTGTGATGTCATTTTGGTACCCTTAGTATCCTCAGTGAGATTCTGGACACTGATCTTTCCGGTCAGCTTGGTCTTGGTGCTAGAAACAGCCCTTGGCTTGAGGCTGGTCTTCTCTTCCACCTCTTCTTCCTCTCCTCCATCAGACGCCTCACTGTCCATCTCCTCGGCCTCGCTCTCCTCTGCCGATGAAGGCGAGGATTCGTCCCCCTTCACCACTTTGGATCGCAAATAATCCATGTCGGAGAGCTGTTGCTGGGTTGCTGCCTTGCTTGGAGAACTTTCTCCTTTCTCTGAGGAGGGAGAAGAACAGAACATCAGCTACCAACTGTTTGGGAGACTTAGCGGGTCACAAACTGACGTGGATGCAACTTTAAGGCGGAGAGGGAGAAGGGAAGTGAAATATAGATTTATATATTGCTCCACAGGGCTTTCCAGCCCTCTATAGAGTAGAGTTAGAGCTAGAGCTAGAATAGAATTCTTTATTGCCAAGTGTGATTGGACACACAAGGAATTTGTCTTGGTGCAAATGCTCTCAGTATACATAAAAGAAAAGATACATTCGTCAAGAATCATCAGGTACGACACTTAATAATAGTCATAGGGTTCAATAAGCAATCGAATCATACTAGGAAACAGTCAATATAAATATTGCAAATAGAATTAGCACATTTTCTCTGCTTTGAAAGCAACAATGAGAAGCCACTAACCAGAAAGATTTTCTCCACTCAGCCATCCCCCTCCTTGTTCCACCTTCTGTGTCTGTGTAAGAAAGCTCCATATGACCACAAGAATGATGTGCAACAGTCCCCAAACTTTGAAAAGACCACCAATGCTCTGGAAGTATGTCTAAGGATATTCTCAACCATCCAGGTCATTGGTTGTCCTGGTTGCTTTTCCAAAAACGCAAGTGCACTTGCTTGTTTGTTTTTTTCCCTTGAAAACATTTCGCTTCTCCTGCAAGAAGCTTCTTCAGTTCTAACTGAAGCTTCTTGGGTGAGAAGCAAAACGTTTTCAAAGGAAAAACACCACGAAAGCCCTTGGAAAAGGACCTTTGGGGGACAATGCTCTGGAATTTATTGATAAAGCATCACCAAAACAGAATGGCTCCATTACTTCGAGCAACTTCCACATCCATCTCCTCGCTTGAATCCTCGTCGGAATCAAAGTTCAGATAATCTTCAACCACCTCAGCACGTTCCTCAACCTTCGTGTCATTGGACCAAGTTGCAACCTGGGACCGTTTCTGATGGGCGGCCAAGAAGTCTTGAAACGCTGCTTCTCCTTCCAGCTGGGCAAAGATTAAAAAGGATTGTGGTTAAAAGAAGTCATACTGTCAGTTTTGGAAGCCATGTTGACGTTCGATGCTCCCACGCTGCCACAATGGAGCCTGAGAAAGTGAGAAGGGGGAATTGTACATCTCTATCTTCCTTACAAATGATTCAGATTTACCTCTTTCAACTGTCCTGCTTTCTTTTTCTTCTTTGTTCCATCCTAGGAAACAAAAGGGAAAAAGTTTTAAAACATTACATACCCCATGTAAAAGGAAAGGTTAAAATGAAGTCAGTAGATTGAGGCAGAGAGAAGAAAGTACAATAGCTGAAAGTCTTTATCTAAAGGCAATTTGACATGCAATACAGATTGTGGGAAAAATAAACTCTTTTTCTTACTTGTTTCTTTTCTGCATGGTCTGAATTCTTTGTGGGTTTTTTAGAGGTTTCCTTTACCAGTTGGGGCTTACTTGAATGTTTGCTCCAGGCTTTAGGCTTTGATGGATCCCCAAAAGACTTACATTCTTCAACCTTGAAAAAAAGAGATATTAATAAGCTTATCGTCTATGGAAATTCTCAGTCATCCAGATCATGATTGTGGAAAGGTACTGTTCAAAAGACAATTGAACTTTCTCGGGGCTTTTGTTCCCCCTGAAAATATTTCACTTCTCATCCAAGAAGTTTCTTCAGTTCTAATTATTCTTCAGTTAAAAATGAAAAAGCTTTTTGGATAAGAAGCAAAATATTTTCAAAGAAGAACAATAAGCCCACCCAAACCTCACTCTTGTTTAATGAAAGTGAATTTATATGGAAGATCAAGATACTCTACGGTGTCTTCATTCAATCACTGTAGTTTCTGAAGAACAGACTAAGGATTTAACAATGTGCCTGCACCTTGGGAAGGGTTAGCAAAAACCTATTTTGCACTTAAACTCCCAGAAAACTTCCAACAGCCTGAAAATGTCCAGAATTGCTGGTTCCATTTCAAAGGACACCCCACCCCGCGCTTCAAGGTTAGAGGCTAAACAAATGTAAAGGCACAGATGCAACTCACCGTGACTCTGGATGTGTCTATGAAGCTTTTGTTGAAATGAGACTGGGCGGTTTTGGCGTCTTCTTCTGACTGAAAGCCAATAAACCCAAATTTGCGGAATTTGCCATCCTTGGTAAATTTCAAGCAGCAATCCGTCAGCGTCCCAAAGGCAGCAAAGAGGTTGCGAAAGCGTTCTTCCTTGATCTGTAGGAAAAGCAATCACGGTCAAGTCATCCAAGCAGAGCTAAGAAGGCTGGTGTGAATCGCCTTACAAGATCACATCCTGTCATCTTCTGGATGAAGCAGTTTGGTCAACTGGTCTTTGTTTTGGTTTGGTTCAATGGTGCCTTGAAGGAACTGGCTGGAGAGTTTCTGCAGTTTTCTTGACAAGGTTTTTCAGAAGTGGTTTATCATTGCCTCCATCCCAGGACTGACAGAGAAGGACTGGCCCAAAGTCACCCAACTGGCTTTGCCCCCAGGGTGGAACTAGAACTCACAGTCTCCCAGTTTCTAGTCTGGTGCTTTAACCATCAGACCTAACTGGCTCTCAACTGTTTTTGTATTATTCTCTTTTTTTGTTTTGATTTTTCTTCACGTTCAAATGTGTCTGATTCTTAGAGGCTGCCTGGACAAGTCCCTGCACATATCCTGGCAAGGTTGCATTGGTATGACATTGCTGCCTTCCTAGGGCTGAGAGAGAGGGACTGGCCCAAAGTCACCCAGCTTGCTTTCGTGTCCAAGGCAGGACTAGAATTCCCAGTCTCCTAGTGATTGGACCAAAGTCACCCAGCCTGCTTTCATGTCCAGATTGGACTAGAATTCCCAGTCTCCTAGTAATTGGACCAAAGGCATCCAGTTGGCTTTCACACCAAAGGCAGGACTAGAACTCCCAGTCTCCTACCAATTGATCCAAAGTCACCAAGTCAGCTTTCATACCTAAGGTGGGACTAGAACTCCCAGATTCCTAGCAACTGCTCAAAGTCACCCAGCTGTCTTTCACAACTAAGGCAGGACTAGAACTCCCAGTCTCCGTGTTTCTAGCCTGACACCTCAACTCCTGCACCCAGCTGACTATTCCCGTCCCTGGACCTGCAGCCATCCAAGCTACTGGTTCTCCAGCTGTAACAGGAAGCAAAGAAGAGAAGCCACGATTTCTACGTCCACCGCAGCCCCCTCGTCCCGCCTTCCTCACCCCGTTGGGCAGATTCTTCACAATCAGCCGCGACATGCTGGCGTCGGAGGCAGCCGCTTGAGGGGAAAGTCGAGCCCACTAAACACGCATCTGCCTGGGCGCCGCCATTTTGCCCACGCCGCGAGATCATGTGACCCCAGTCCCCCTCTGCGCCTGCGCATTCGGTGAAACGCCTCTGCGTAGCTGTTCAAGGCATCCGGGTGCTGTATCTCCAAAGAGGAAGAGAGAGATAAGAAGCTTTGTATAGATACTTCCGGTTCTTAATGCGGGGATTGAAAAAAAGTTTGAGGGGCCTTTATCTCTTCTCTCTCTCTCTCTCTCTCTCTCGATGCATAGGATTTCAACCGTTTTCTGCAGTTTAGAAAGATAAAAATTAGTGTTGCCACAAAGAATCAAGCTATTCTCCAAAGTACCCGAAGGCAGGACAAGAAGCAATGGGTAAAAACTAACCAAGGAGAGAAGCAACTTAGAACTAAGGGGAAATTTCCTGACAGAACAATTAATCCGTGGAACGAGTTGCCTCCAGAACTTGTAAATGCTCCAACACTGGAAGTTTAAGAAGAGGAATGTGTCCAATCACACTTGGCCAATAAAGAATTATAACTTCTAACTATTTAACAACCATGTGTCTGGAGTGGTGTTGGGTTTCCTACCTGGGGTTGGACTAAAAGACCTCCAAGGTCCCTTCCAACTCTGTTATTCTATTCCATTCCATTCCGTATCTTTCTGTCGCCTGATTTAGTCCCCCTTCAATCGACGTATGTTCTTTGGAAGCGTTAAAGAGGTTCAAATGAGAACCAGCAACAGGCATCTATATCTCCCTCTTCCTCTTTGCACGGGGTCCTTTGAAAACACTTGCTCCGGGCATGCGCACAAGGCAGCTCGAGTGAATTCAATGCTTCTGAGAATGGTCCAGCAGGTGGCGGCAGAGGACAGGAACAGCCTCCAACTAGCTCGCTACTGATCGGATCTTACAGCAAAGGTATTAAGAAAATAAGTGATTTATTTATTTTCGTTCCTGGTCCACAACAAGCAACAAAGACTTACTGAGTGGATTCACAATAAGCCTTACTTTTGTTCAACTGCTGGTTTATAGGTAGCCCTTGACTTATGACCAATTATACTTATGCTTCCTCCTCCTCCTCCCCCTCTTTCTTTTGTCTCAGTTTTCTTCTTCTGGAATTATAAACCTGGAACAGTTTCTATTTTTTTCTCCTTAGGGTTTCCAGTTGTTTTTTATTTTTATTTTACTGATTGTCTTGCTGCGTCCTTTCAATTTGAATCTTCGGCTTGCTACCCAGCGTCCCTGTTGTGAGATAGGCAACTTTTTTTAAAAATGAAAACTTTTTTTAAAAAATAAAAAAAAGACAAGAAAGTAAACCCAGGGCTGGCAGGACGGTGGTAGGAAGAAGGGCTGGAGCCGTCTAATGCTTAACCTAACAAGAGACTTTCTCCCACCCGTCCTGTTCAGATCAACCTGCCAAGTGACATTATGTGCCTGTTATCTAATGAGCTGGACATACGATGGCAAAACCCAAGGGAGCAGAGGTCATCTGGCGACGAAATAATATTATGGGATGCCTGCAGCCCCGCGACTGGATTCTCACAGGGCAGACAAGAGACCAAAAGACACAAAGCCTCTCTGGCTGGTCTCCTGCAGATGGGCGCAGCAGGGGGGGTGCGGCCAAGTCAGCTGGGGCATCCTTCCTGCTGGCCCTTGCCAATCCAGTCTGGAGCATCACAATAAGCCATGATTTATGAGTTGGGGGGATACTGGGGTTCGCTGCTGGGGGTTCGCAGGGGTTTGGGAGAGCCCCCAGCTAAGATTCTGGGCCTTTTGGAGAACCCCCAAATCCCACTCCTGGCTACAATATAAATAAAAATAGACAGATGGATGGATGGATGGATGGATGGATGGATGGATAGATAGATAGATAGATAGATAGATAGATAGATAGATAGATAGATAGATAGATCCAGAGAGAGATCGTGATAGATAGATAGTGATAGATGATAGATAGATAGATAGATAGATAGATAGATAGATAGATAGATAGAT